TTATCAGAACCTAAAACATTTACTATATAAGAGTAATACTTTCTAGAAAGCAATCACTTAATCCTTTGAGCACTGAAATTGAGAATGACAAAGTTTCAACAAACATTCAAATACAAACAATACATTTATACTGGAAGTAACTGTAGGTGACCCACAAGAGTCCTCATGAAAAAGAACAGTGTTCCTCAATACAAGATAGAAACTGACTAATGTCCCAACAGAAATAGGAAAACCTGGTCTATACAGAACCCAGAGGTAGAGCATCCTAAAAAAAAAAAGAGATAACGATTGAATAATTATTCTCAACCCCTCCTCCAACCCCTGGCCTATGAAATAGAAGGTAATTCATGATCGCCAATCTTGATTATCACAGAAAATCCAAAATGCTGCGCTACACCAAACAGATGGTTATTTGGACAGAAGTAACTCTAGTGGCTGTTTCTTTTCTTGAATCATTTTGGATTAAGGAAAGGGCTTGTTTAGGTTTTTTTAAGTTGGGTTAATTTAAGTGTTATGTAAAGGTGCTAGTGAGACCTCACTTGGAGTATTGTATGCAGTACTGGAGACCATATCTCCAGAAGGATATTGATACATTAGAGAGAGTTCAGAGAAGGGCTACTGAACTGGTTCATGGATTGCAGGATAAAACTTACCAGGAAAAGTTAAAGGATCTTAACATGTATAGCTTGGAGGAAAGACGAGATAGGGGGGATATGATAGAAAAATTTAAATACATAAAGGGAATCAACACAATAAAGGGGGAGACTATAAATAAAAGAAAGAAAACTACCACAACAAGAGGACATAGTCTTAAATGAAAGGGGCAAAGGTTTAAAAATTATTTCAGGAAGTATTACTTTACAGAGTGAAATGGTAGAGGTGAACACAGCGAGGGAGTTTAAGCATGCGTGGGATGGGCATAAGGCTATCCTAGCTGTGAGATAAGGCCAGGGACTAATTAAAAGTATTTAGAAACTGGGCAGACTAGATGGGCCGAATGGTTCTTATCTGCCATCACATTCTATGTTTATATGCTGTTTAGATCATATGGAGTTCAAAGGGTAATTTGCAAAGTATTCACCATCCTATGTTCTGTAGTCCAGCCACCCTCCTACCCTCCTATGATTGATGTAGAATGTAAGCTCGTTTGAGCAGGGTCCTCTTCAACCTATCATTCCTGTAAGTTGTTTGTAATTGTCCTATTTATAGTTAAATCCCCCCTCTCATAATATTGTAAAGCGCTACAGAATCTTTTGGTGCTATATAAATGTTAATAATAATATTAGACCTGCAGGGCATGTTATACAGGGTGCATCCCTCAGTGTTGTCCCTCGTCCTCCTGCAATGTGTTTATTGTGTGCCAGGCTGTTAATGTGCACCAGTCCACCTACAGGGTATATTATACTAGGCACCTCCTACAGGACATGTGCCTGCATGCAAGCACCTATTTCCCTAAAGGGAAATCTAGTTTGATGCTAACTAATAAATGGGAAAGGGGATTGTCTTAACTGCACAATCCTGCAACATAGATGATGTGATAATAAGATATTCTACATTCTAGTTAATAATAACTCATCTATCTTTTGTGGATAGATTCCTAAATTAACCTAAAAAGAATAGACCTCAATACACATAATAATACTTGAATACTAGGGGATTAATTAAAGTTGGAAGGGTGTATTAGTGACAGATAACAAAACCATGGAATGGCTAGACACGGTAAAGAAAGAATGCTTGAGATGTCTAGAATGGAATTCCAAAGTAAAATAATAGGAAATTTCATAACGTTTAGATTGGATTTCTCAGCTGGTGATTCTTTTTTTCTGCTTTACTACTCCTTAAAGGGTTACTCCAAACACCATGACCTCTTTAGTATTTTGAAATGCACATTGCGCGGTATACAACACCACAAATATATAAAATCTGTGCATAAAATCATGAGTCATCACCGGTTAATGGTTTAGTAGGCAAAGTCCAATATGTGGTAGCCGACTGACAAGGCAAGGCACTGACAAGGATGAGACAAAGGCTTATTGGGGATAGCAAAAGGTCGTGTTGGGCAGCACAGTTTCATAAATGGATAACAGGCCAAGGGCCAAATACCAGGAAGACAACATGTAATCAGCAGCAGCAAAAGGGACAACTTGACTGAACAAGAAGCACAGTAACACTGAGCATGGAGGACTGGGAGAGAAGTCTACTTACATTATCATCACATCACCAATATGCCCCCTGTAACAGGAACTCTCCCTGCCCTTTAAAAATGCATGTGGCTAGGCGTTTAAGCACCTAGGGCAGGGGTAGTCAACCTATCAAGGTGTCTTTGCACGGCACTCAAGGCTGCTAGAGCCAAACAGGCTCTGGCCTATCAGGAGTACCAGTGAAACTTCAGATATCTGCTAATACGAAAAGGTGGTGAAGGACAATCCTCAGTTTATGTATTGCAGGATGTAGAGGAACTGATCTCAGATCACTTCCCCCCAGCACTTGTGAATGGGAATCCACACTAGAGTAGATCAGCTTTCAGCTCCTGTCCTTGACCTATACATGGCCAGCCTGATCCACTGGAACCCAGGGAAGCCACCCACATTGCTAGATATACACAGAAATGCAGAAAAACCCTCCCCTCATACAAATAATACAAACAGCTCATACACAAACATACACACAATCCCCACAAACTCAACACCACTAACAATCTACATACATGCACACAACCCCACATGCAGCCTCTCACATGCAATGTGACATTTCCATGCGCACACACACAATTCCACAAGCAGCCCCCATATACAGCCCAGATTCATATGTGATAGAACAACAGGTGATAAACCGCACCAGACAGAACTGAAAAAATTACATGGGTATATTCAATCTTAACAATAATACCCCAATAGTGTGTAATAAGTTATGTATTATTATTATTATTATGATATTTATAGAGCGCCGTCAAATTCCGCAGCGCTTTACAATGGGTGGACGAGCAGCCATTGGGCCCTGCTCAATGAGCTTACATGCTAGAGGGAGTGGGGTAAAATGACACAAAAAGGTAAAGATAGTATTAGACTAGTGACAGTTGCAGAAGAGGAATCAGTCAGGAGCTATTAACAGTTTAATCGATACGCTTTTATGAAGAAGTGGGTTTTTAACGATTATTTGAAGGAGTGGAGACTGGGTGAGCATCTAACGGAGGAGGTATATATGTACTCTCTCTGGAGTAAAGTGATTTTTTACTTTGGTACCAGGAAAACCTAAAAATAAAGCAGAAATGCAAAAAGAAATAGTGTTATGTCTTAATAGTTTTACAGACAGTTATGTATAGGTGTCTCAGTCACACTTTTATGAGCTACTGAGAGCTCTGCTGTTTAGCGCTTTGACAGTACAATCCCCGTTTTAAGATATATGTAGATCCTTAATTTAATGTGTCCAGTATGACTCCAGCATATAAAATAAAGCAGAGAGGGTCTAATAGTGCAATATGTTAAAATATATAAGGTGCACAGAAGCAAAGTGTCCTTCTTACACTTTGGAGAGCAATAAACATGCTCTGGTGGTGTAAAGCCTTGGTGGTATAATCCCCACCCGGAGATGCGCAGGAACCAGGATAGTTATCCAGCAGCAAAACAACAAATTGGATATGATGTTGTAGACAATGAATTGTGTGTGTACGTGTGTGTGTGTGTGTGTGTGTGTGTGTATATATATATATATATATATATATAGTAGTTGAAAGTAATATTACAAGTAAATAAAATACACTCAAAGGTCACTTTATGGCTTCCTCAGAAGTGTCCATCATATGTATCATACACAATACCACAAACTACTCATGAACATATACAATATAATAGCTCAAATACACACAAATACAACAAAACAAAGCAACTGCAGTATAAATAACACAAGCAGAATATGGCAACATGCACACCTCAATTCAAAAGAAAATAGGACTGGCACGCTACAGGACATCACAATCCTATTTTGGCACAGTACTGCTGAAAGGTTGCCTACCCCTGACAAATCACAATCACAATACTCCAAACTGACCTTGGGTCAGATTGCCAGTTGAATGCCAAACTAGCAAATGTTACTCCAACCAACCTGTAAATATTATTTTGGAATAACCCTTTAAACATGTTGAAGCATTTATTAAGCATGTGTACAATTCATATATCCAATTTAAATTTGTATACTATACTTCAATCCAATGCTTACAATTAAATTGTTTAATTTTTCTAGATTTTCAAAGATGTATTTTCTACTTCTGCAAAAAAGTGATGAAATGCTCTATAATTATGAATGTGCATGTAACAACACTTATTCATAGTAAATTTACTTTAAAAAGTTAGTGCATCTCGTATATTTTTCCACAAATTTGAATTCACATTTGTATATTTGAATTTCTTAAACATTTAGTGTTTTTTTTTTAATGTTATGCTTAAAATGGTTAAGTATTCTCTTGTGTAACGTGAGAATGTGTTCAAGAACTAGGACAGAAAATTTAAGAAAAGGAGGCGAAACAAAAAGAATGATTTTGCAGCTTCTTTCCTTATTAAGACTTATTGTCAAGTCTGCCAGAAGTTTGATTTGTTTCACTAAAGCTTTTGTAAAGAGCTGAATGATCTCTTTGTTAGATTGGAATGCATCAACTCTCTGCACAAGTAGATTTTGTTTTAAAGGCTTCATATCCTGCCAGCAGAAGTTTGCCTGATGTATATCATAAATGCACGATGAATATACCTTCACATAAAAAGGTTAATTAGGAATACTGTTCCAGATGCACATACAGATTGTCAATATAAAAAAATCTGCCATCTCTCAAGATTAAATGTACTGTTTAATACCAAGACTCAAATTGTATTTAAAAATAATTGCCAATGTGTAAGAGACGTGCTTCCTTTCAGAGTTTGTTAACCCTTTCATTTCTAGGATTACTGGTAAAATGACCACTCTGGTCACTTTCATGTTTCATAAACTGGTGATACTGTGCAGTTTACCACTTAGTAATCTTTGGGGGTGGGATGCCTGGATGTATATATATATATATATATATATATATATATATATATATATATATATATATAAATAATAAACATCCAGGCATCCCACACCCAAAGATTTTATATTTTATATACATGTTTTTATGACCTGGCAGCTCAAGTATGTGTTATTCATTTAGCATAGTCATAAAGTCACTGGTGCTATGTAGTTAAATTTTACATAACACAAATTCCTTATGTTATATGTCAATCATGTGAGGTTTTATTTATTTGGTGTTTTGTGTAACTATGTGTGTATGAATTTTCCCCCTAGTTTGCACTTTCTGACTCCTCAGGTATTTTGGCATCTGTCCCCAACTCTTATACTCGATATCCTCCTTTTATCCAATTTCTATTATGACAATATTGTGAAGATACACTTGTGGTATCTGGTGTCTGTTGTGTCCCTGTCCTAGTTTTCCCATACCTCCCCGGTCCTAGTGCTGTCACGAAAAAAAAAAGGGCTAGTTGGTCAGAGGCATATACTTTTCGCTCCTGGGGTGAATCTCTGACCAACTAGCTTTGAAGTGACCATCTCTGACCATATAGCTGTGAAACGACCATCTTTGACATGGTGAGCCCTTCCAATTGATGCGGTCCCCGTTCGTCACTCTTCGGCGCACGCGTCCTGACCCCAGTCCGCCACAGCTAACTGCTATCATCTTCCCTTTCTGTGGTTCCTGCCCTCATTTTGGACAAGTATTCTAGCCAAGGTGTCCCTATTTCAATGTGTCTCTATTTCTGGCTGGACATATCAGTCACCAGAGCTTCAGCTGATTGTATTTCCTCTATCCTGGAGATTAAAAGGTCTGCCCTGAGTGGGGCCAGCCAAAAAGGCTGCCAGTAGGTCTAGTGTGCATTCCCTTCTCTCTCAGTAGCATTGTGAGCATCATTGGTAAGGCAAGTGGCATTACCTGAATTTACTTTTGGGTCCGCCCACCTCTTGTCCCAATTTCGTAACCCCCTAAGTTCGTATACAACTACATATGATGTTAGTGGGGGAAACTAGTTACTACTATAATTACATAGTTGCTTAATTATCTAGGTTTAAAAAAAGTCCTTCAAGTTCAACCTTGAAACCCATTCATTTATGATGTAGATACAAAAAAAGACCAAAAAACCTCAAACAACTGTAGCCAGTTCCAGTATGCCTCAAAAAGGAAACATTTCCTTCTTGACTTTATAAAGGCAATCAGATTTTTACTGTTATTTCTACTCCTATGTTTACATGTCAAGTATATCTTTGAATATCTACAGAATCTGATAAGACAACCTGACAATCTTCTTATAGTCTCAGTAGGTGACCTGCTGTTCCTGCTGATGAACAGGTTAGCACATTGTGATTTGTACTGACCTCACATATATTTTTATAGTGTAATGATATACACTCTGAGGTGCATTTTGTCTTAAGAAAACAAATATATTTTTCTAGACTTTCCTCATAACTAATGTTTTCAATCCCCCATACTAATTATGTAGCATGCCTCTGCACTTTTTCTATCCTTCTTTAAAACCTGTGCCCAAAATTGCACCACATATTCAAGGTATCATTGATTTATAAATAGGCAGAATTATTATTTGATCAAAGCAATCAACCCTCCTTTTTATACATGAAAGCACCTAACAAGCTTTTACAACAGCAGACCAGTATTGGATACTGGTACCTAGTTTGTGATTTATAATGGTTCCCAAATCCTTTTCATTAAATGTTATCCCTAACTCAATCCCATTTAATGTATAAATGGCTTGTGTGTTCCTTATTCCAGAATATGACTTTAAATGTATCTGTATCTAATCTCATCTGCCACAGGTCTGCCCAATCCCTTGGGTTATCCAAATCCCTCTGTAAAGCAGTTATATCATGTCTGTATTAGCTTATGTGCTGTTGTGTCTTTTGAAAATGACTTTCAATGTCCACTTACCACTTTTGTCCAGTTTGAAGCATTTTACATTTGCAACTACTCTGCACTTTATCTTTAAAGCAGAGTTCCATCACCGAACTGATTTCAGTTTTAATAGTAATATTTTGAATGTAACTGTATCAAATGCCTTAGCATTTGTCTAATTGAAGGTTAAACATGTGGAAATGAATGGGTACTTAGGTGAACACCACCATTCTACATTGTCTATAATAAAATAATAGTGCATCCTTGATCCAGTCTATGATCCATATTAAAATGTTCTCTTTATGTTTCATTTCACTTTCTGTTTTGTAGAATATTGAATGGATCATAAGTCATGGAATAAATGCATGAACATAGCCATGAGAAATATTTATTATTAGTTATTATAAATTGCCAGACCCACAGAATACAGACATACTTTCAAGGAAATCAAAGACTACAGTCTAAATTGATAGAATTACTGAAAAAATAGCCAAAATCAGGGACAACAACAATGAAGTCTTAAAACAAGCCAAGTTGAGCCCCCTTATTCTTTTCATTTGTAAAAAAATAATAATAATAGGAATTGAGAGAACGTATTTTATAGTTATTATAGTGATTGATTGTAATATTTTTCATTCTGCTTTTGTATGTTAAAATGATGAGCATGAGTCATTTCAAAATTGAAAAAGGGGGATTTATCAAACAATTAAATGACTAAATCAGTGAACTCTTTCTTTCACATATATACAGTCTGTAGTGTCAGTGAATGTCCACCAGAGTGGGAAAACAACCCTTTTAACTTATACCAACTGCGTCTGCATAGGTAACCATTTTGCCAAAACTGCATCCCAGCATTCTCCTCTCACAACTTGTTTCTTAATTGTTTTTGTTAAATCCTAGCTATCTCCCCTTCTTTCCCCTTACATCCCCTATTAATACTAAATTATTTTAAATTACTCCACCATCGCGGCCTCGTGTTTACTTCTGCCATATTGTCCCAGTTCCTTGGTCTTTTTACTCTTAAATGAGCTTTATTTTCCATTTCTTTAAAGACACTTTTTGTGCACTAATCCTACACTTCTTTACTTTTTTTAATGCTTTTAAATAATCACTTCTGTTAATTATTTCACAGTCACGTGACTTTAACATCACATGAATTCAGATTTTGAAATCCAGCTCTGCTATTTAAACAGTTTGCATCCAGGACCCTATAACAATTTTGAGTTATCCTACCACCTTTTTAATTTACTGTTTGCACTATATTTTAGTTATTTGTGTATCTACATATTATCACAGTGAGGATCACTACCATCAACATATCCAAGAGTGGGCATTGTACCACTTGATACCATTTATAAGGAACCATCTTTGGCTCCATAAAAAGTGAGTGTATATCTATATTCATTACCCTCCAAATCTGTGACACCAAATATACTATACCATATTGGTATATTTTCTGTTTGTATTTCATAATCTCCAGATCATCCCTAATTGTGCAAGAGACACCATTAAGCCCAGGCATATAAAAGTAGAGCTCACTGATAGCTCTACATACTAAAGTGTTTTTCCTTCTTTTATCTCTACAGTTTTTTTTGTCTTGCTTCACTTTGACCATTCTTAAGGATCTCTCCCTTGGCGTTGCTCCCTTCATTCCATCCATATTGGGGGTGGTACTTTGATACTCCTAACTAAAGAATGGCTCTGATGACCTCTACCACAAAGTAGACTCTTCTACACTTTCCCTTTGTTGCTTCTTAGGAGAGGGCATCAAAGAGATATAATGCTTGAACTAGCTGAGGTAAAAGAAGCTTGGGTGCCAGTGGAAGTAGCAGCCCAAATTGTTGCACCATGAAAAGGATGAGAAAAAAAACCAATTGCCTTCTAGGTGTTGAATCAGATGTAGCAAATGTGCTGCTAATCACACCATAATGAGGCTGAATACAACTAATACTGGTGATGGCAACAGTGTTATTGTAGGCAGCAGTGGCAGATGTGTCAGCAGTCCTTGACCATGGTGTTTCAATTCTCAGGAGCCATGGCACTATTGTTGATGATGAATTGGGAAAATGTACCCCTACTCTCCTTCAATTTCATGTTTGGATTAGCACATGACATTAGTGAAAGAGCATTCATATTTTTTATTACAATAAATTTGGAATACATAACATATTGTGTATATTGTAAACTAACACACTTTATTCAGCAAAAGTAAGTGCTTATATTGCAAAATTAGCTGTTGCTTGGTGGATTTACTACTGTTACATTATTATGTTTGACTTTAAAAAGTACTGAAATGTGCTGGCACACTTGCACAGCACACATAGGGAAGTTTAAGTACTCCTGGTGATAGTTAGATACATCAGCAACATCTACCTAGTCTCACACTAGAGTTAATGACCCAATGACTTTATTCTTTTCACTACCCCAAAAAAGTATTTATTTCTACAAACAGTTTAAAAATATATAAATAAATGAACAAACAAAAATTGCAATTTTGACTGAAAAGAATCTTCAAATTTAATAATCAACCTGGAGGAGATCTTTCAACACTTGGCCTTGAAGCATGAGCTTGTTTTTGTTGATATTCCGGAGAGCATAAGCTGCATGAGTAAAGAGGACGGACATAGAAAAGAAAGGATGGAGATGCCCTAGTGTAGGGTTCATTAAGATTTAATTTGGGCTGAAGCACTAGGTGTTTCTGTGACTCTGCTAACAGTAAGCCATAGTAGTTATGTTGCTTTGAGTTCCCCTTTAGGCATCAATATATTTAAGCATTTTGTTTCTCACAGATTAGCCATGGTAACATTTTGCAAGAAACAATAGATAATGTAATTGTATTTTTTTTATAAAAGCAATTCTATCTTGCTATATTCCCTTTATTTAAAAAATGAATCTACTTTGTTGCAGTTATTTTTAGCAGACATCAGTAGTAATTTTCTTTTGATGTGCAGGATTCTAAAGCAAGCTACACACCATTAAAGCAACTTAAATACAGTTTTATTTCAGATAAGTCCACAACTCTTCAAAAAAACTGTAATTTGAATGGACATTGAATTGTAGGCCTCCTGGAGTTTATGAAACAGTGAAGAATACATTAGCAGCATTTCAGACACCATGCACAGGGTATTTGATTTGTCTTTTTGCTACTATGCTGTGAATTGGTTTTCAGCAGATCTTTGTGTTCATTTTACACCTTGAAA